AGGGGACGGAGAAGGCGGGGGGACAGGAGGCGAGAGAGGTAGGGCAGGGAGGGGATCCGACCTCCTCGCGTCGCGGAGGACCATTCTCACCGCGGACGGTTTTTTCTGCCGTTGACGGCCTCTCGGGGGCGTTCACCTGTCCCGAGGAGGGGGCCCAGACCTTAGAGGTCCGCGCTGATAGCAAATCACGACGATGGAGCCTCGGGGAGGGAGGGAGTTTCGAGGAGTGAGGCTGGGGTGGACGAGGATGGGGGTGGAGGCGGGGGAGGGATGGGCGGAGGGACGGGGGGAATGGGAGCAGGGGGGAATGGGAGTGGGAGCAGGAGCGCGCGAGGAGGGAAGCGAGGGGGAGGGACGAGCGGAGAGAGACAGAAGGAGGATGAGGAGAAGTAGGGGGGGAGACAGGGAGAGTCACCACCTACCAAACCACCCCAACCCAACCCGAAGGCCTCCATTTGCCCTCCATTTCCAGTGTGGGGGGGGGGGGGGGTCGGGGAACATTGCCAAAAGCACATGGAACCCGTACCCCCCCCCAACCCGAAATTCGGTTCAAATTCGGGTCTTCGGGTTGGGTTGGGTGGTCTGGTAGGTAGTCAGCGCTCTGCAGACGCAGCCGCCCAGCCAGCCGCGGCAGCCGAGAGCGGCCCGGCGGCCTCGGGCGGGGTGCGGCCTCGACGGCGGTTCGGCGAGGCGGGCATCCGCTCGGAAGGGGGGGCCCATACCAGCAGGCGGGGGGCACCGCGGGCTGGCGGTGCGACCAGGAGAACCACAAACACAAACACAGCCACAAACACAAACAAAACCACAAACCAGAAACACAACCACAAACACCAGGAGAACCACAAACAAACTTCGGCAAAGCCACAAACACGTGGGGCTCCGCGCGGAGTTCTCTGGCCGGCGCCTGGGCCCCCCTTGCGGCGCCCGTGGCGCCGCCCCTGGCGCGCTCCGCGCGCCAGGGAGGGGGGCTCCATCGCAGATCCGAGGGGTCCGCGTGGACCTCCGGCAGTTCATGCTTATGCAGTTTTTGCTTGCTTCCTCCCCAGACCCCCGACGTCGTGATTTTTTCGTGACGTCGACCCCCAGAGGTCTAGACCCTTCCCCGGGACCGGTTTTTCATCCTGAGTCGTTTTTTGACGGTCCCGAGGCCCGGGAAGGGCCCCCGGAGGCCGAAGATAGCGAAAAACCTCGCGTCGTGATTTTTTCACGACGCGAGGAGGTCTGGGTCTAGCGATGGATCAGGGCGCGTCGATGAACGACGTCCCGTTTCCGTACGAAGTCGGCGCGCCCCGTCGCCAGATCGGGCGGCGTTGGCCCCACGTTTCGCGGGGGAGTGCCCTCCCCGATCCTTGGATCTGGCGCCCACTCACCAGACCCATCGAGGACGAGCAGGATGTGGTGCTGATTGTGATGGTTGACGATGATGGTGCTTGATGGGCATGATGGTGGTCAAGATGATGATGATGATGATGATGATGATGATGATGAGGATGCTGATGATGATGATGATGATGATGATGATGATGAGGATGCTGATGATGATGATGCTGATGATGAAGATGCTGATGATGCTGATGATGATGTTGATGATGATGATGAGGATGATGATAGTGATTATGATGATGATGGTGCTGATGCTGATGATGATGATGATGATGATGCTGATGATGATGATGATGATGCTGCTGCTGATGATGATGATGATGACGATGATGCTGCTGATGATGATGATGCTGATGATGAGGATGATGATGCTGATGATGTTGATGATGATGATGCTGATGCTGATGCTGATGCTGATGCTGATGCTGCTGCTGCTGCTGATGATGATGAAGATGATGATGATGATGATGATGATGATGATGATGATGATGATGATGAGGATGCTGATCATGATGATGATGCTGATGATGAAGATGCTGATGATGCTGATGATGATGTTGATGATGATGATGATGATGCTGATGATGATGGTGCTAGTGATGATGATGCTGGTGCTGATGCTGATACTGCTGATGATGCTGATGATGATGATTATGACGATGATTATGATGATGCTGATGACGATGATGATGATGATGATGCTGATGATGATGATGATGATGATGATGATGCTGATGCTGATGCTGATGATGCTCATGATGGTGATACTGATGATGCTGCTGCTGATGATGATGCTGATGCTGATGCTGATAGTGATTATGATGATGATGGTGCTGATGCTGATGATGATGATGATGATGATGATGCTGATGATGATGATGATGATGATGATGCTGCTGATGATGCTGATGATGATGATGATGATGACGATGATGCTGCTGGATGATGATGCTGATGATGAGGATGATGATGCTGATGATGTTGATGATGATGATGATGATGCTGATGCTGATGCTGATGCTGCTGCTGCTGCTGCTGATGATGATGATGAAGATGATACTGATGATGATGATGATGATGATGATGATGATGATGATGATGATGATGGTGATACTGATGATGCTGATGATGATGATGATGATGTATGATGATGATGATGATTAAGCTGATGATGATGATGATGATGAGGATGATGATGATGCTGATGATTGATGATGATGATGAGGATGGGATGGAGGTGAGGATGATGATGATGATGCTGATGATGATGATGATGATGATGGATGATGATGTGATGATGATGATGATGATGATGACAACATGACGAGGATCGTAGGAGACTAGTAGGAGGAGGAGGAGGAGGAGGAGGAGGAGGAGGAGGAGGAAACAGGAGGAGGAGGAGGAGGAGAGGAGGAGGAGGAGGAGGAGGAGGAGGAGGAGGAGGAGGAGCATGAGGAGGACACTTACAAGGAGATGACGAAGAGTCTGGTGGACGACGACGATGAAGGGGGGGGAACAGAGATGGGAGGGGGAGGACGCGGGTGTGTGTGTGTGTGTGTGTAGAGATCGAGGAGTACGAGGGTGATGCGGAGCAGGCGCGACAGGACGAGGATGACCAGGATGATGATGAGCAGGAGGACGAGCCAGAAGTTGACGAGGCGGCTCACGAGGGGAGGTCGGGTCAGGCGTGAGCGGCGTGCCGCGCGCGAGGCATGCCGTCCGGCCACGTGCTGAACGCGTACACGGTGCTTGGCTGGCTCATCCTCGAGGACTGCCTGAATTGGGAGGAGGGCGGAGGAGGAGAAGGAGGAGGATGCGGAGGAGGAAGAGGAGGAGGAGGAGGAGGACTTGGAGGAGGAGGAGGAAGAGGAGGAGGAGGAGGAGGAGGAGGAGGAGGAGGAGTTAATTTATAGCGTTCCGACTGGGTGGGCAGGGTAAGCAAAGGCAGAGCGCGCAGTTGAGCATTTCACGTGCCTGTGTTTCGCGACTGCTTTGGCTCAAGTTCTGTTTGCCCCCAGGGAAATCATGCTACCAACATATTTCCATGGTAGCGGAGCCCGTGGTTCGCCTTACGGACTCCAGTGCGCGTGGCTAACTCCGCGAAGCACTCGTCTCCCTGCGATGGTCGCGGCGGCAGCCACAGCGGCTCCGCCGAACCCCGGCGCAGCCGACCCAGGGAGCGATGTGACGTTGCCCGAGGTCCGAGAAGCTTGGTGCAACCTGGGCACGAACCGATGCACGGAATTGCACAATGCCGGTTACGAGAACGGAGGTTTCAGGTATGTTAGCACAGCGCTCAAGGCCAATCATGAAAGGAGGATGTTCTTCTTCGAGCGCAGCACCACATTGGGCAATTAGAACGGTTGACAACGACGAGGCGTTCACCATGGTGCAGAGCAACAACAACATGCGTGCCCCCTTGATATCAGTCACCAGCCGCAGCATGTATTGCGAGGAACTGTTCGATAACTTGAAGTTCCACGCTAAGACATACCTCCGACGTCAGGTGAACGCCTCGGAGCATGTCACCAATATCGCTCAGGCTATACAGTCAGCTGGAAACGCAAGGGCTGGATGGGGTGGAGGCAAACCCGTGCGCGAACACAATGGCAATCCAACATTTTATCAGCTTCTCGGGTGACCAGGCCAAATTCAGTGGGCGGTGCTGGAAGTTGCTGAATGCGCTCGCCCGGATGAAGCACGGTTATCGGAAAGCCGTGAAACACATGTGCAGTACATTCGAAACCGTGGATGCGGCGCTGTCTGATGACGAAGGAGACGACTTGTTATTCATCATGAGCGGGAAGTTGACCCTGAGCGAATATACTACGGCGTCGCGTACCAAGAAACAAACATATGACTCACAAGTGGAACATGAGTTGTATCATGACGACCACGCCAAGTTGGACGATGACCTCTGATATCCGTAAGGGATTCGCAAACTGCCGCAGCCACGTCTCTACCATAATGTAATCGATTAGAGCTATATTGGGATGTTTGGGCGCTGAGTTGAAGACGTCTGGGAAAGTCTATGGGAGAACGGACAAGAATCAGTGGGATCTTTCCTAGATTCTTTCAACCGTCGCCGTTTCGAGGATTCGTGGCTGCGGGGCCACCGCCATGTTTTCAAGAGGCGGCGGGGGTGGGGGTGGGGGGGGGCGAAAAACGTTGCCGGAACACAGATCCCAATTCAGAACATTGCTTTTTGTTCATATAGCGTAATTGAAAATGGATCGTGGCTTCGGGGATGCAGATCGTTCGTGATTTGCCAAGGATCGTGGCCTCGGGGAGGCGACTGCAACATAATTGGCGATGAGACGTGGCTTCGGGGACGCGACTATTGTGCAATTTTGGCTTCGTGGGGGCGAACACATGTCAATGTACGAACGAATGTGGCTTCGAGGACGCGAACATGGCGTACTTTACGAGGGGTCGTGGCTTCATGGGCGCGAGCATTGTGCAATTTACGAGTCATCGTTGCTTCGGGGATTTACGATCCCGCGTACATCATACAATTAAATATTACACGTTGCACGGGATCGTGGCCTCGGGGGCGCGAACAATGGGTGATTTACAAGGGATCGTGGCCTGGGGGTCGCGAGCGCTGGGCTATTACAAAAGAACGTGGCCTCGGGCACGCGAACATTCACGAAGGATCGTTGCATCGGGTGCGCGAACATTTTTTACTTTACGAGGGATCGTGGCTTCGGAGACGCGAGTGTAGCGTAATGAATGAAGGGTCGTTGTTTCGGGGCCGCATACTTTGTGTACTTCGGCCGATGGATCATTGTTTCGGGGCCGCGGATATTGTCATGTAGGAGGGATCGTGGCCTCGGGGGATGGCGAACGCAGCGTAATTTGCAAGGGATTGTCGGGCCAGCTGGCCCGAACGCTGTCTTGGTCCTCTTTGACCTACAGTGAGGCCTGCTTAACCAGGAACTGCTTGAAACGATCGCGGTCCCAGTGGTCAAGCACCTCCTCGGCTGCACGACGTTTGAGCTGCTGCAACTTCTCCAAACGATCGCTCATCGGAGTCAAACGTGGCGCGCGTCTGCTTGGCCGCGTTCCCAAACTCGAGCTGCTGGTTGTTCTGGGTGCACCAAGCACGGAGCGCAGCCTTGTCCAACTGAACCAGATCAGGTATAATCAGGGGGTTCAGCAGGCTGAGCATATTGTTCAGAAGCGCCGCCGCCACCAGGCTGCTGCCATGCTGCGCCGTGCTGCATTGGGGCCGCCGCCGCCTGCGCAGGAGCCGCGGCAGGGGCAGGGCATGTTGGAGGTGCGGCTGCGGCTGCGGCGGCTGGCCTAGCGGGCGCCGCCGCTGCCTGCTGCTCACGAGCCCGCGCAGCACGCCGTTCCAGTTCTTGAGCCTGGCGACGCTCCCAAGCGCGAAACTCAAGCCGATCTTGACCCGGTGCAGACACAACTGCTTGGCGCCACACGCGCACGTGGATTCCGCCTGGCATTGGCCTCGGGTAAGTGCCTCGACGGCACCAGCATGCGACCATCAGCACGAATCAGCGATCCCTGATGCTCGATCACCGACGCCAGTCTGGATTCAACCTCACCCTGCGCAGCGCGCTCGGCGCGCGAGGCGCCTTCCACCTCGTCAGTAAGCGTACGCCCGGTCTGGTGGGCGGCCACCTTCCTCTCCATTTCGCTCTCGGTCGCGGGCGCAGGTGCGGCAGTTTGCCCAGCGGCCGCCGCAGCGTGCTCATCTCGCTGCCGAGAGAGTAACCGCCATGCCAGGATGCTGAAGTGCATGTGCTGCCAACTGGGACAGAAGAGATCACGCACCGCTTGGTCTCCTCCAGCTGCATCAGCACCTTGCTCCGAACGACCTCGATGTGCTCCTCCGCACTTCGAGCATGACCAATTGTCATTTCGAGCACGGCCAAAGGCCATGGCGATGGTGCTCCCAGTGGCCACACATCGAACACATACCACGTGTTGTTGCGACCATCACCTTTTGTCCCACGACCCGAGCCAGAACGGTCATCACGACCAGCATGCCCCGGGGGTCTGGCAGCGCCACGCCATCCTGAAGCAAGATGCTTGGCTCTGAGGGTGCTCCAGCAGGAGCTCAGGGAACCGACCTGGGCGGACAGGCCGGAGCGAGCGGCCCGGGCCTGGACGGACAGACTCGGGGTGAGGCCCACCAGGGGCCTGAAATGGACGGGGATCTGGCCGCGGACCAGCGGTATATCCACTTGGCTCACCCGAGAACTTTGCACCCTGAGCCAGAATGGCTGCGGTGGAGCAGGCCGAGGAGGCAAGAGCACGACGGGAGGAGGAGGCAGCAGGAGGCGCCCGGCACCCCCGCCGCCCCCCTAGTTTGTGAACGACGAGTCCGGGCTCCACCTCGAGGCGCAGCGGGACGGATGGGGGGGCAGCGCTGGGCCGCTCAACGGAGGCGCGCCGCTCACGACGACGCGCGCGGCGGGCTGTCGCCGCCTCGACGCGGCGGCGACGCCCTCGAGTCAGTCGAAATCCATCGTGAGGATGTGCTGCTTCATCAAGGCTGCCCTTGCATCCCTGCTTTCTCGGCCCATCCTGCGTCAATGCTGACGTCCAAGGAGCTCTGTACGGTACATGGGACTTCCAAGGGTCTTGCAGCCTTACTTTGCATCCTGACGATGCATGTTCGCTGTACGAAGCAACTGCGTGAGCATTAACTTTCAGAGGTCCGCTCGGATTTCTTGGATCGACGCTGGGATCCCCCTGTCGGCGCCTCCTGCGTCGCCTCTGCCGCGCTCCGCGCGCCAGGGAGGGGGGTTCCAGCGTTGATCCAAGACATCCGGGCGGACCTCGCAGGCTTTGTGCGCATGCAGTTTGTCGTTCCTCCTACGACGGAGGGAGTGCTGTTAGAATCAGGGCGTCAAGCGTGATCGAGTAGGGGAGTTTTTAGGTCGGATCTGTATTCCCTGCAGAGTCAAAAACCCCAATAAGGACGCGCGACTTTGCTCAGGGTACCCTTGCGTCCTGGCTCTTCCTTGCTCTTGCGTCCTTGGGGTTCTCGTCGTCCGCCGCCCCAGAAATCCCAACTTCGGCTTCCAAGGGTCTCGCGTCCTTACCGCGCGTCCTTCTTAGGGTTCTTGACTGCATCGCACCCGAGTTGCCCCCCACGCTCGAGGGACACGAGCAGCTCCCTCCTCCCCGTTTCCGGGGCCCCCCACGGGCCGAGGGGCTGTCGGCGGGCGGCTCCGGGTGTGGATGCCGGTGCCGTAGAGGAGCCCCAGGATGCAGGATCCGTTTCCCTCGGGACTCCGCACAGTGCCGTTTTTAATACATGTTCCGCGTGCGGATCATGCATCAAACATGCAGGGATTTAGCACTAAAAGCTACGATGAGTTCATGCATACATTTCTTCCTACATTAATCATGTATTAGAATCCTTAGAATTCCAATGTATTAACAACTGCCCTGTAGGGTGTGTATGCGTGCGTGTATGTGCAGTGGGGGCCCATGCCAAGAAGCAGCCTGCTTGCCTCCAGGGTGCACTGGGTTTCTTGGGTTTCGATGGTTTTGCGATGCCGATTTCTCAAGTTCCCTCGGCTTCGCCCATGAGGTCTCCGCATGACGCTTTCACTCGCGCTCTTCGAAGTCTCAAGTGCAACGCCGCGGTCTCAGAAGTCCCTTTCGCTGGCGTCCCTTTGGGGAACGTGTCAGGGGCTCGAACCAAGGGAGGTCACCCCCCACCCCTGAGTGCTCGATCTGGGGGGGGGGCAGCCCCCCCTCTCTTAGGGGGGGGGGCTTCGAATGGGGGTGGGCGCCCCCCCCTCTCCCCTGGAGAATTGCAAGGGGAGGGGAACAACCGGCTTCCCATGCCCTTCGCCAATGGCAAACGACGACGAAGGTGACGACGCCGACGACGACGACGCAGACGACGATACCGCCGCCGACGACGACATCGAATTCGGCGACGGTGACGACGACGACGACGACGACGACGACGACGACGACGACGACGACGATGACGACGACGACGACGACGACGACGACGACGACGACGACGACGACGACGACGACGGTGACGACGCCGACGACGCCGACGGTGACGGCGACGACGCCGCCTTCGACGACGACGACGACGACGATGACGACGACGGCGTCGTCCAGCGACGATGTCGAGCGCTGAAAGTCACGGCGGCAACGTCTTGGCGCGGGATCCGCGCTCGGGCCAGCTGCGCTACACTTCTGTCTTTGCCTGCTCGGCACTGGGCGGCGGCCCGGCCGCGTCGTCCTGGCTCCGCGTGCGGTCGGCATTTGGTTGGTGCGGCACCCGCGTGCCGCGGTGGCCGTGCCAGCGCGGGGCCACGTGTGCCCTTACGCCAGCAGAGGCCGCGCGCGGCGCGGCACCCACTGTCGCAGCGCACCTGGGGGGCCGTCTTGTGCGCCGCCGCCGACGCCGCCGACGACGGCGGCGTCGGAGTACGAGCCGATGGTCTTCAGCTGCTGCCGCCGCCTCGGAACAGTTTTATGGTACGGTAGCGTAGGGTAGGGCAGAGTAGAGTAGGACAGAGTAGATCAGAGCAGGATAACTGGTAGAGTAATGTCGGGTATACCAGAGAACAGTAGAGGACAGTAGAGTAGAGTAGGACTAGGAGTGGAGTGTAGTATAGGAGGGTAGAGTCGTGTAATGTGGAGTTGGTTAGGGCATGGCAGGGTAGGGTGGAGTAGAGTGGGGTAGAGTACACCAGAGTAGAGTAGAGTCGGGTAGATGGTCGAGTAGAGCTGGGTTTGCTAGCGTAACGTGGAGTAGAGTAGAGTAGTGTAGAGTAGAGTAGGGTAGAGTAGAGTAGAAAAGAGTAGAGTATATCAGAGTAGAGTAGAGTAGACTGTAAATAGAGTAGGAGTCGAGTAGAGTATGAGTAGGAGTAGGAGACGAGTAGAGTAGAGTGGAGTAGTGTAGTGTGGAGTAGGTTGGGGCAGGGTGGAGTAGGACAGAGTAGAGTGGGGTTGGGTAGGACAGAGTAGAAGAGTAGAGTAGTGTAGACGGTAGATTAGAGCCGGGCATCATAGAGTAATGTAAAGTAGAGTTTAGTAGAAAGGAGCAGAGTCTTTCAGGAGTAGGATTATATTGGGAGTGGAGCAGCAGAGAGTATCTTAGGGTAGGGTACGGAAGAGTAGGGTAGAGCAGAGCATATCATACGACAGAAGGGTAAATCTGGTGGTAGAGCAGAGTCGGGGAAAATAGAGTGCAGTAGAGTAGAGTAGAGTGGAGTAGAGTCCACCCCAGTCCAGTCCAGCCTACTCCTGTCCAGTCTACTTCAGTCCACTCCAGTCCACTTCGTGTCAGCCTTCTGATCTAATTGGCGTCTGCGCTGGCTGATTTTCGTTGAGAGTTTTGTAATATGTTGCGCGTCTAGCCGTCTGTTGTCCGTCGTCGCTGTCGGCCTGGCAATTCAGTGGGCCCCCCCTGGGTTCGACACCCCCCTTGCACAGGGGTGGGTGGGTGGGCCCTCCGGTTCGAGCACCCGCCCCCTGCAATTCAGGGGGGGGGGGCATCCCCAATTTCCCCCCCATTCTTGGAGGCCCCCCCCCCTGGCTAGGGAGGCCGACGTCGGTGTGTGTGTGTGTGTGTTCTTTCCCTGGGTTCTCAGGGCACACCGCATTC